TCAAATAATTTTTCCTTGCTTAAGGGAATCTTGAGTTTTCAAATGAATACAAATATTTATATTAAAAACCTTTTTGATATTATAAATTGTATTATTTATGAGAACCTAACGCTTAAACGTTCGACTACTGAAACATTTACCTTATATTACAAAAGTTCCTAAATGTGACTAGACAAAGTGTACACGCGAATTAATTTACAAATGCACTAAATTAATACATTAAATTAATTTGCATTTTTTAATACAACGAATATTAAAATAAATATCAAGATTCAATATTATTTCACGTAAAACCAATACATATCGAATTTGTATGTATATCGATATTCAATTAATTTATCTATAAAAATCATCCTTGAATATTTAACGGAAGATAATTTATAGAATTTACACTCTTCCACTTGTCAAGTATAATATTATTGTCTTATTATAATTGTGTGTCGCGAGTGACAATCCTCGTTTGATATTCTGGCGATTTCATCGTCACAAATATTTACCTTCGCGGAATTCGTCGGTGCGAGACACGTACGCACACATATGCATATGCACACTTGACGCACATATACATCCAATCCATCGTTGTGGGAATTTTCTATCTAACCAGGTTCTAGCGACTCTGCTGTAATGAGCAGGGCATCCATCTAATTGAAACCACATTTCAGTACGTTGTTGTAATGGGATGTTTTCTAAATAGTCAGAAAATTCATTCTCCAAGAAATTTAGAAAACGGTCCCCATTTAATCTTGCAGGTAAAAAAAACATTTTTTTTCGATTTCTCTGAAACGGAGCAAAAACGAGCATATGTCTATAGGACTTTTTTTCTTAGTTTTTTACTCCTCTACACGCTCCCGAAGTTTTGCGATTTAATTTGGAAACACCCTGTATATATATAGAAATGTTATACACGAACCGTCGGTCACGAAAGTGAAGACTTTTAAACTCATAAATTTCTTATGACTGTCTCGAGTTTTCTTGTATATTAGTCGCATATATTCAAAGCAGAATGTAATCAAAATGATCTGTATCCTAATTAATTTGTAATTGGTTGTTCATTATGTAAACGATTGTTTAACGATATAACAGAATATTTGAATTTTAAGCGTAACAGTAATACAATAAATACATGCGCGAAATAATATTTTAGATACATAGAAATTGCTAAAAAGGCACATGCGACCGGTTGCGAAACGAAAAAGTCGAGGAGTCATCTCGCAGACACACGCTCAGAACGGCTCACGAATGAATGATACAAACTGATATTAATACCTTAAGACGCGACGATAATTATTTGATACACCCAACTAACCATCCAAAATATAAATCGGTTTAATGCCGATTCAAGTATAGAAAAAAATATAAGTTAATCGGGATACATTTGATGTCAAGTGGAAAGGAAACACTACTCGGTGAAATTGCTGTTTCAAAGAAATGGGGGGGGGAGGGTTCGATCTTATGAACTCTTCAATTATACGGTGAAAGTTAATTATATCGAATTAAGTAGGCAAAGAGGTCAGATTTAATTCCGCTTAGTATATGTAAATTAATATCTCGTGTTGAGAATTATTGAATCATGTGCACTGTACATTTTTGTGTTCGGTCATCCGATACAATTAAATGTCTGAACTCAATATTCAGTTTCTTCCATATTTTGTGAAGCCAATGGGAACAGTGTAACTACAAACGATGAATCAAGTATATCGTTATATAACTCATTGAAAAAATATATATATGAATATGCTGCTTGTACAATTTTCTCATTCTGCAAAAAGATTTCACTACGTGCTATTAGTAAGACATCATTAACCTTTGGACTGTCGGCATTTTTTCACTAAAAGTGATTTTTTTTCTCGAAATTTTTTTTATATAAGTAACATATTCATGGCGCAGAATATCGAGATTTGTGCAGAGCCATAAAAGTGGCTTTCCCGGCAGGGAACATACGATCAAATAAAAAAAATTTTATTTTCTCAAAAATAGTGTATTTCAGGTTCTTGGTATTGCTGATTCCAATTCAGAATATAGATTTAGGAAATCTCGAACCCTAAACGTAATATTGACAACATAAATGAATATAAACATATAGACTCATGCAGAGAACTTTCCTCCATTTAGCATTACCCAGAGCTAACGACATAGACGTAAAAAGTTTACAGTTCCTTTTTGACTTTTCTTTTTTGTTTGGTTCTTAAACTTTTTTTGTATTTTTTTTACTTTTTTCTTGTTTTATAAATTTTTTTTACTTTTTTTACTTTTTTTATGTATATTTGTCAATACTTATATATTTTTATATATTTTGGACAATATACACATATATATGTTTAATATAATTAGTATTTAAAATGCTACCAAAAACGATATTTAAGAACCACAAAAGTGGCCTTCCCGGCAGTCTAAAGATTAAATACATAATCACATAGTAAAGATTCTAGCAAATCGTAAATTCTTATTTTCAGATGAACATTACATTAAAAAAAAAATTAAAAAGCTATTTATTTCTTAATTCATATATTTTATTATTCTGTTCTAAATTCGAAAACCCATGGATTTGCTGACGTATATCTAGCTTTGTTATTTAGTTCAAAATATAATATATATTACAGGATCAATATAAAGAATCCAAGAATTGTTTACTGTATATGATCTTAGAATCTTGAAAAATTGAGTACTATTATATTAAACGATGCTGATAATAGTAGAATTAAACAAAAATATTTGACGTTGATTGATTTAAAACCAATTTGAATCGCGAAGAAAAATATTAATTAGAGGGCAACATATCCTGATATTTTCATGGAGAGAAGAATGTACTTACGACTCTAGACTCAATGTCGAGGCTGTGGTCCCGTCTTCTTTTACCGAGGACCGGTGTGCAAAGGAACATATCCATCGAGCTGCCATCCCTCCTCAAGGAATCCAAACTTCGTACGGCGACTATAGCAGCGAGCTCGTACAACTCCCTCAGGGCCTTCGGCCTCGTGTCCGTCGTGAACAGTCCCGTCGATGGTTTATTCGTGACGTGAAAATGCTCCGTCCTCGCCGCGAAAGTACAGATATCCGATTCCGCTGTAACACGAAGAAAATACCAGGCTTTAATGATCGTCTTGTCACCTAAAAGATTGCAGTCGAACTATTACATGTAGAGTCGCGTGTTTATCTAATTTCCATCACTTATCCTGATACATTGCACGTAACAATAACATCGCGATAAATTTCTTTCGAGATAATCGAGCCTTCTCTTGGTGTACCGTTAAATCTCTTTCTGATATGTAATTTTTTTATAGATAATAATTATGCAAAAGTATAATAGAATATAAACATAAATTTTATATTCAAATATCCCAGAGTTTTATAATAGTGAGCATAATTAAATATAAAACTAAAAAGTCTATTTTAGATTTATGTATCTTATTAAAGTGAGATAATTGACGACTATAATATATAATTCTTTCTTACAGAATTTTTTACAGAATACTACTAATACTGGCTAATTTATTACTGAAAGACTGTAATTAATTACTTGTTTAGAGTATTAAAAGTACCGAACAACAGTGTTTTTAATATTTAAAATAAATAATTTATTACTATCTTTCAGTATGTATTAAATTAACCAGTATTAGATTTCTGTAGGAATTAGATTTTTTAAGGATTAATATATCAAGGATTAGTATATATACAATACATATATAGGTAAATATATACAAGTACTTTCTAAAAAATGAAGTCTTTTCTAAAAAAATATCTTAAAAAAATATAAGGAAGATAAATAAGAAAAAATTCTATGAAGAAAGATAAAAAGCAAAGTCAATAAAAGGAAGAAAGAAAAAGTGCTACGGAAAGATTTAGGTACTAATCAGGAAAAAAAAGAATGTCTCGCGTTTCACGAAGTCGAATTTAAGAGGCGCTCACGACTACGTCCTTTTTTCTTTACAGACATTCTATAACGTGACATTTGAACTTGTAATATACACTACTTGTATATACTTAACTTGTATATACTTTTTACTGATTATATATGTGATGGGCGGATGACTACTGACATATATATCTTAACCATAAATATGTTCATTCATGGTTTCTTGCACCGTAGCGCACGCAAGTCTCGGGCGTGAAATCAGTAAAAAATCTAACTCATGCCACCCGCGCTCGAGGGGCACGCTTGATTCGACGTTTCCGGTTGTTTTCAGAAACGGTTTCTTCCGTGACGAAGCCGGGACTTTAATCTCTGACAACGAGGTCCTTCCTAACGTTTTCAATTACATGTCTAGAGAGGGGCAGTCTCATAATGCACATTAATTATAAAATAATAATTTATTTGTAAAAAAAGTACTATAATTGTAAATTAAAATGAGTAGTTGCTGAATTATAATGCATATCAGTTGCAATGGATGTATAAAGCTGGATATTTCTTTCTCTAATTTAAGACAAAACTGCGTCTAAAGTGATTTTAATCATTATTATTTATACACATACATTTATTATTCAGTAATTTCTTGACTTTAATTTTTTATCTATGATATTTCATATTTTTTTATATATGATATTTCATATTTTTAGAATTTAAATAATATCAGAAGGAAGTTTAAAATATATTAATCATTTTTTTTATATTGAAAGTTTTGCTTATATAGAATGGCGCAAATGATGCAGACTCACTGCATCCCGACACATACATATGTATGTGAAATATATGAATTGAGCGACAGATGAGTCATAACGTTTGATTTCTGTTTTTATCGACGATGTGATCGTCGAACAATGAAATCCCGTAAACATCTCCGTGCTCGTGGACAATTAGTTCCGTTATTTGGAAGGAACCTTAATTGCCGACTCTTTTAAATCAATCTTTTGGTCTGACAACGTATAACGCATATACATGCATTTTACAGTGCTATGATTAACGCGTGTTTTTTGTGTTTTCTCTATTATTTTCGCCATTGTTCACCTTTTGTTTTGCACAATACCACGAAGGAATAATCACTACCGGTCCGACACGCAATAAGGTCCGTATTCCCCATTAGAACTTTATCCCTACAAATTCACCGCATTGATTCACAACTCTACGCTTGATTCACATGCTCGATTTGCCCTAGCTCTGGTGGAAAAGCTATTCGAGAATACGATTTACTTCGTAAAGCTCCGTTTAGAAAACTAACTAGCTAATAAACTTGCAATTTTATTATCTCAAAGTCAAATTACAATTTTATAAATTTATAATTTCAATTATTAAAACTTGTGTTTATACAAAGAGAAATTAAAACATTTTACAATTCTAAAATTATTAAATCTACATACGTAAGACAAGAATTATACATATGTTTAATTTCAAATTTAAAAAATCGTAAATTTAAAAAAATAAAATTTTACGATTTGTTAACCTACAAAAATTGATAAGTTTTTAACGTAGAATCTAAAAGTTTTGTAAAAGTTTCGAAGCGAGCGCTATAGCTCTTTGCTTAATCAATTTTTTGGCTTCTTTGCTCCAAATGGCTTCTGGAATACTTCGGTATTAAGAGTTATGCTAACGGTTCATTACGAAGCAAGGTAGTAATATCGCACGACTGCTTCAGGCATTTATGCCATAGTGTATAAACAGAGCGATGCGTGTACGTGCGGGCCGCGAGCGAGAAAGACTCGCCAGTGTTCTGCCAAGCTGCAGTCCGATTCGATACAATCGTCCATGGAGTATTTCTTACTAACCGTCTGTAACCTCGGAAGCTGATGCATATAACTACACAGCCGGTACAACTTTCTGCGCGGACGAGTGAGGAATCGACCTTCCTCCGTGATGTTCTGCAATCTCATCGTACGAGCGAATAATCAAGACTGGATCCGAAGCTCTCTTTCAGCATATATACTGCAAGTTTCTTTTAAAAACTTATCATCTTCGTGCAACTGTTATTTTTTGCCATTTTCAAACAATTATTGGTTAAAATGTTGATTTTGTTTTAGCATCAAGATTAATGATTTTGCTACATTTTCGTAAAAAGTAGTAGGGGAAAGTGGGGAAATTGTGCACACAAGGGGAATTCATTGCTGCGATGTGATTTTTGAAGCTGAAGTAAATATAAACACGGAAACACATTATAAAAATTCTTCTATCTATATGCATTCTCATATTGAACAATTATTCATTTGATAACGTTGTATTTGACAAAAAGTAAAAAAGCGAATAAATTTTTCGCGCATCGAGTAATTGTGCGCAAAGCAAAAATTGTAAGAAATTAATATAAAATTAATAAAATAAATACTTTATGGAAAATGTTTCATGGAATATTGATGAGAAAATGAAAATATATATTATTATACCTATACTTTAGTGAGGTATGCACGATTAAATAAACAAAATAAGAATATGGACTTACCATCTTATTTTCTGAATGTCAAAATTACTATCAAAATGTCATTTCACCTTTTGCTATTAACTAAATTTTCAAATTATATAACTTATGATTATATCTGAAAAGAATTACGTCTAGAAATTGAGCCGCAGTAGCGGCTCCATTTATCGGAAAAGTGCTAAACCGAAATGCGCAAAATTATCCGCTATGCACAATTATTCCACTTTCCTCTATATATACATACATATATAAAAATTATTTTGACATTGAAAAAGGAAGATATTCTTATTTTATCATCGGTTTGCATTTCCTTATAATTAAGGATGTACTAGACGTACATCCCTGCAAAGAAAATTAAATTCGGAAGTATGTTTAATATTTAAATTTCAAATAAACTATTTACATATGAAAGTTGTGTGAATAAGATTATATTTTTGTTTAATAACACATTTTTGTAATTTATTTATTTTATTTATTATTATTTTTATTGTTAAAAATTAAAATTTTAAAAATGATAAAGAAATTTACATTTTTCTTTTATAAGTACTTTAAACGTTTAAAATAATTTATGCAAAGTTTCATTGCGATTCACTATGATTAGTTACAAAGATATAGGACAAATAAATATTTTGTTTATTTACCGGACAATTCATGCATCACAATGTAACTCTACATAAATAATCTTAAATACATATAATGTACTTATATTTAAAAAATTAGGATTTTTATCATTTATTTTCTAATACATTTCCATATATTTTTATTGGAGCGCAGATTAAAAATATTACTTTTTATTAAAACAAATGATCCAGATAATAAAACCATCATCAAATTTGTCGTATTATTTTTAAACGTGATTTAAAATAATCTATAATTTTTTCATAATTTTGTTATCATTTTGAAAAAATATGTATAAAACATTCTTAACATTTAAATAGATAGGGGCTATTCAGAACACCCCAAAAAATTTTATTTTTATATAGTTATATTTTTTAATAATACATACACAATTAAATTTACATACCTCATGAGATAGAGGAAGATAATAAACGAATTAAGATTTCTGGGAAATACTTTTTATTTTTTTTCCCAAGATTTTTAAGATAATTAGATATGCGTGAGGTGCTGTGGTCTACCTATTTAATAGTAAAAATAGTATATATATATATATATATGATATATCAACAATTATTAGTAACATGGTAACAATGAAACTAACATTTTCATTCTCGCGTGAAATGAAACAAATAAAATGAAATATTGATAAATATCGTTTCAATTGGAATAAAACTAGCGGTTTTGGGATTGCACATTGGCGGAAAATCGGCTCGCATACATTTCAAAGTAAATGCGCATTTGTAGAGCCGAGCTCTCGCCTGGATAAATGCGCGGCGAGCGGCATTAAACTAACGCGTCATGGCTGTTAGTAAAAGAGGGTCGGACTCTGGAGATTTTTTACAGACGCCAGAAGAGAGCGAGTTACGAGTCAAGGCCGGCTGCACAGGTTGCTCGGTCATGAGAATAGAAATATGAGCGGGTAGGCATAGCCGTGTTCGTAATAATCGTACACCTGAGCAAGCACCGCGTCCCGCGCGCGCACGCATCCCAATCTCGCGAATAACAGGCTTCAAGCTATTCGCAATCGTTTCTCACAAATCAGCACGATCCACCGTAACGGCGGCCGGCATGAGCTAATTACAATAGTAGCTTGGCAGCGACGTATGG